ATGTATACCATACATTTGAGCAAAGTAATAAATTTAGAGTTTTAAGCCCCCACTGCACTCCACTGGTTTAATAACATTATGCACTTATAGACATCATTTTGAAGGTAATTTTATAAGCAATAATTTTGATAACTACCAATTTTTTAATAAAGTTGACCGTATTGGAGATATTTAGCAAAGACTGAAAAATTGTACCTTTAGGGGCGGTTTTGGGGTGGTTTGCATGGTCGGAGGGAAGAGAAATTTTAATATGTTAAGGTGGACCGCAATGGCTAACTAACTACAAAAATTCAGCTTTCGGAGATATTGTTCCAAGAGCACCATATTATTAAAAATAAGTGTCCTGAACTCAATTGAATAAGTTACCGGTGGAATTGACTATTGGCCGTTTTATGACGTCAGAACTTAGATTTAAAAAATTAAAAAAATGAACTACTGAAGTTGGATTCATTTAAATTAAAGCAATTCAAACAACTTTTTTCTATAACATTTATCTATTAAATGTCTATTAACCCAGTTATAGACGAAAACAGAAAAGAAGCTTTCAAGCGTCTACCTTATGAGTCCAAACACAGAGCACTTGTCTTCTAACGTAGTGCCAGCTATTGTAAATTGCGCCAGTTTTCTCGGAGCAAATTCAATCGTGACTATTACTAGTTTTTGAGTGTCATCTGTTTTTATGTAATTTGTGTTTATATTATTTTGTGTTCTTTTAATCTCTAATATTTTTGAGATTCGTGTTTATAATTTCAAGATCTTCAAAAATCCTGAAAATGTAGTCTATTTTAGTTTAGTTTATAGTTTCCTTTTTAATTTTTAAGTCGTTTTGTTTTTGAGTTAATGAGTTTTTGAGTCATTTTGTTTTTGAGGATAATTTAGAGAGTTTGGGTTCTAATTTTTATTATTTTTAATTGTTTGTAACTGAGGATAATTTTTTTAGTTTCTATTCTTAGTTTTTCTGAATTCTTACGTATTTTTATTTTTGAGTGGATAATAATTGAGGATAATTCAGTAGGTTTATATTCTTATTTCTTTCAAGTTATTTAGTTGTGTTAAGTTGTTTATATTATACTTGAAGACAAAATGGTATTTCGGGTACAAAAATTGGAAGAAAAAGTAGTTAAGGCTTTGAAGAAGGAATTTCCGAATATGGAATTTAACGAAATAAAACAAATGAATTTACACGGAGACGCGTTAAAGGGATTAATTTTGCTAATAGATGATAAGCGCATAGGATTTCCCAGTCAATTAGTACGATATATGCAAACAAATCAAGATCTCTTAGCTAAATATTTTCTGTCGCCTGCAATGAAAAAATCGGATGAGAAATGTCAAATATTTGGCATTTTAAAAAATATCCAAATTAAATCTATCCATTTTCAAAGTGTACGTCACAAAGATAGTGGCCTTATAGCTCATATTTGTTCTAAATTAAAAATTAAAAATACGATGAAAAATAGGCTTCGCGTATATTATTATGCTAAACAATATCTTAAATCGACGTCCCGTTTATATGCCAATAAGACTCTTTCACCCCATAATACAGAACAGACGAAAGATAATTCTAAATTATTTTATTATTCGACACCCCAAAGAGAAGAACCGGACAACGAGGATATCCTTTTAAATTTAATAAATATTTCCCCTATTATAACTCCGGAGGAGAATGCAAAAGAATCATTTTTGGCGCTATCCGAAGATACTAAGGCTTACAAAAATTCTGAAAAATTAGTTACGGTCTCTCCAGAAAGAAATATGGTCCCAAAAGAGATTCTCAACTTATCTAATCCCAATACATCAGTAAATCTTCCAGTGGGTTCTGTAAATGTGTCTTTGATTCTACATCAAGAATTTAAATATTTTACCCATTTTGAAGGATCTGCTACAATTCCTGAAAAATTATATAATTATATTGTAAGTGAACAGAAAGCCAATCCCTATTACAGTTCTTATCTGTTAAAAAATCGAATCCAAAAATATATCAACAATGTTTGTATAATAGTCATTAATTATACAAAATATAATAAAAAACAAAATATGTTTGTGTTTCATGCCTCATGCAAACATAAAGACTGCAAAAAATTTAAAATTTTTCTTAAAAACTTGCAATTAAATTTTTGTCACGGGACAGCAATAACATCGCAGGTACGAGGCATAGAAAGAGAAATATATAAAGCAAAACTTCTAAAAAACAAGCCATCTGCATTTAAACGAAAGTGTATTATAAATGCAAATAAAAGAATTGCGCTGTCAGAAAATCTACAAGAAATTAAATCCGACTCTACCATCCGCAAAATAAAATCAGAAGCTAAGTGTTAGCTTGATCGAGATAGAAACGACATTTTAGATTTATTAAAAATGCAACATGATTATCAAGAATATATTCGAGAAATTACATTCCCATTTACTGTAAAGGTTTATAGTAGAGAAAGGTTTATAGTAGAGAACAACAATTCTAAATCTATATATATATATATATATATATATATATATATATATATATATATATATATATATATATATATATATATATATATATATATATATATATATATATATATATATATATATATATATATATATATATATATATATATATATATATATATATATATATATATATATATATATATATATATATATATATATATATATATATATATATATATATATATATATATATATATATATATATATATATATATATATATATATATATATATATGTTCCCTGTCATCCCTTCGTGGGACTAGGGCTTCTAAGAGATGTTTCCATCTGATCCTATTCTGAGCTGTCTGTTTGATCTCTCCCCATGTTTTCCCGACCTCTTGGGCTTCAGAGGTTACTGTTTTTCTCCAGGTATTCCTTGGTCTTCCCCTGGCACGTCTTCCCTGTGGATTCCATTCAAGTGCCTGTCTAGCGATATCTCAGTGGGGTCTGCGCAAAATGTGCCCAATCCAGCCCCACTTTCTTTTCTTAATTTCGATATCTATTCGATTTTGTGATGTTCTTCTCCACAGTTCTTCGTTGTTAATTTGATTGGGCCAGAAAATTCTCAATATTCTTCGAAGACACTTGTTGTAACAAACACCTGTAGGCGATCCATGAGACCACGCGTAACCTTCCATGTTTCGCATCCATAAAGCAAAATAGATTTGACATTGCTATTGAAGAGCTGGACTTTAGTTTTTTTGCTATATATAGAGGAGTTCCACACAGGTGTAAGCATGCCAAAAGCTCTTTGTGCCTTCAAAATCCTTTCCTCTATATCTTTCTCTGTGCCCCCATCGCTGTGAACCATACTTCCCAGGTACTGAAATTCATCAACTCTTTCGATGGCTCGGTTGGAGAGGTATAGATCTTGGTTGTTGGGAGTATTTGACCTCATTTCTTTGGTTTTCGCCACGTTGATTTGAAGACCGACATTATTAGCTTCCTCTTGGAGTCTAAGAAGTTTTTGAGACATATCCGAATGTGAATGGGAAAAGATGCATAGATCGTCTGCGTAATCCAGGTCTTCTAGCCTGCTTAAGAGTCCCCATTGTATCCCTAGTGGTTCTTTAAATGCTCTATTTAGTGCTACATCCAGAACGATGTTAAAGAGTAGCGGCGAAAGTATACAGCCCTGTTTTACACCTACTGCAATAGAAATTTTCTCCCCCACTTGACCTTTATGTAATACACAGCTTGTAGCATCATGATAAAGCATTTTAATCATGCGGATTATTTTTTCGGGTATTCCTTTTTCTCTCAAAGCTTTCCAGATGGCTATGTGTTTTATAGTATCGAATGCTCTTTGAAAATCCACGAACACCATGTATAATGGCGATCTGAACTCTTGAGATTGCTCTATTATTATTCTGAGAGTATTAGAGAATAGATTTATTTGATTATTATTCTGAGAGTATATTAGAATTTGGTCGATACATGATCTTTGAGGCCTAAAGCCTGCTTGTTCTTTTCTCAAAGTCGGTTCAAGGGCATCTGATATTCTTTTTTGGATGACTGTAGCAATTATCTTGTTAATGGTGTTAAGTAAGGTAATGCCTCGCCAGTTCTTACACTGGGATAAGTCACCCTTCTTGGGGAGTTTTACAATAAGTCCTTCTTTCCACGTTGACGGGATATGTTCTGTTTCCCAACTGCTTTTTATTATTGTCTCTAGTAGCTGTGCAATGTTTTCTGGGTGTATCTTAAATAGTTCAGCGGGTATATTATCAGGACCTGCCGCTTTGCCAGTTTTAAGCTGTGATAATGCTTGCTTAATTTCTTGAATCGATGGAGCACGTGTTGCGATTCTAGATTTGCAGTTCTCTGTTGGAGACGTTGGTACCTCATCAATATCATTTGTTACCTGTTGAGGCTCACTAAAAAATTCTGTCCATCTGTGCAGCTGATCCTCTTTTGAGGTCAGTATATTTCCTTCTTTATCTTTCACTATGGGACATTCCCTATTAATGTTTTTATTGGCAAGCGTTTTAGTAGTGCGATAAAGTGTCCTGGAATCATTTATTTCAGCTGCCATTTGAGCTTTTTCTGCAAGTTCTTCTGTCCACAAGCGTTTATCTCTTCTTGCTGATCTCTTCACTTCCTTATTCTTTGTGCGATATTGCTCCTCTAGTGTTCTTATTTGTGTGCTGTGGCCTGCTTGTAGAATTTTTTGTTTAATTTCTTTTCTTTCTTTAATCTTTTCCCATGTGCCATCTGAGATCCATGGCTTTTTAATATGTCTCTGATATCCGAGGTTTTCTTCGGCAATCTTTTGAAGGCTTTCTTTCACTTCTTCCCATTTCTCTTCTATATTTACAGTTGAATTATCGATGTTTATTTCTTCTATCTGGTGCTTTATTTGGTTTTGAATGTTAGGAGAAGCCAGTCGACGAAGATCGAATTTACGTCTTAGCGGTTGTGTTTTCCGAATCTTTGCAATTTTAATTTTATTTGAGCAATCAGTAGATAATGATCACTGTTAATGTCTGCTCCCTCTGTACGCTCTTACATCAAAAAAGTGAGTTTCTCCACTTCCGGCTAATTAAAAAGTGATCAATTTGGTTTGTTGTGTGCCCATCTGGCGATTTCCATGTAGCTTTATGGACTACGTTATGAGGAAAAAGTGTGCCTCCGATAGTTAGTTGGTAATTAGAGCACATTCCCAGCAGTCTATCGCCGTTATTGTTTCGATTGCCTAATCCGTGTTTTCCCATTATATCTTCAGAATTGCGGTTATCACTTCCAACTTTGGCGTTAAAGTCTCCCATCACGATCATCATGTCTGATTTTTTTATCGCATTAAGGGTAGTGTTCAATGTTTCATAAAATATGTCTTTGTCTTCATCGGTGGAGGGTTCAGTTGGAGCATAGCACTGTACAATTGTAAGATTTCTGACTTTGGTTTTGAATCTTGCTATCAGGATTCTGTCATTTATTGGTTTCCATTCTATAAGGCTTTTGGTGAGGTTTTTAGTTATGAGAAGAGCCACTCCGTTTGCATGTTTTTCATTAGGTGGTTTACCAGAGTATAATAGTAATTCTCCTGAGGCTGAGTGATGTTCTCCAAAGCCGTTCCAACGCGACTCGCATATTCCCAAAATATCTAGACGATAATTGTCCATTTCATGAATGATTTGTGCCAAACGAGTCGCTTCCAGCATAGTTTTGACGTTTCAATTACCAATTCTTGTCCGTTTTTTCGCGCCAATGTTCGTCATCGTAAGATCAATCCGGTTTGCTCTCTTTTCAGTTTCAGGAATCAATAGTTTTAAGAAAAACCTGGCTTGAGCGACGCTATTTAGTGCGTGCAGGTCTTAGGGCTATACCGCCCATACTCGGTCGTCAGAGCCTCGTTTGCGAACACAGGGTGTACCAAGTCCATTTCTAGACAGTGGGTGAGGTTGACATTTGGGTAAAAGAGGCTTTATGTTGCGCTTCATTACCCCATTAACACCCCGACATTTACCTATTATATATTTTGACGCAACTGGGACGGTAGTTCGAAAGCCATTCACTTCTATCGGCATGAAGCGTATTTATTTATATTCAGCTGTTATTCCGACGAAGGCAGCTGGAAGAATAGTTCCAATATTTGAGATGGTTTCTTCGTCACATTATGCCAAAACCATTTTTAAATTATTTTATGATTTTAGAGTTTTTTGCGAAGAAAATGGTAAATGGCCAATGTTCGGAGCAATTGTAACAGATTTCAGTTTTGCAAATCTACATGCAATTTGCAACGGCTGTAATAAAATGGATTTATTATCATATTTAAAAATGTGTTTTGATATCTCTAAAAAGATCATTAAATATCCCGACGATCTAATATCCATACATTTGTGTTGTGCTCATTTCATGAAAATGATTTCAAAACATATCAATGACTGTTTTAAAAATAAAATTCATGGCAGCTTAATTAAAGACTTAATAGCACTTTGTATTAAATTAAATAACATAAATGATATATCAGTGTGGTTCTTCAACATTTACATAATGTTAATGACACCTCATTTTGACGCCACAGTCAAAAATGCCTATACAAAATTGTCAACTATGTCTAATCAAATAAATTGTAATAATATAAGTTGTAATACCCATATAGAAACAGAGGAAATGCATATTGAGGCTACAGATCCTTTATTTAAGAAAAGCCCGTTTTATATTTACTTTAAGAAAATAATAGACTCGATTAATTTAACAACTAATGGCCCAACAAATCCGTTTCAAAATAGTAAATTTTTTAATATTATTTTAAATAATTATATACCATATTTGCCTTTGTGGTCGGGACTAATGATCAGAAGGTGTTATGAAAAAAATCGCCTAAGCAATTCTTATGTTGAAAATTATTTTTTACAACTGAAAAGTAATATTTTGGAAAATGAAAAAAATTTAAAAATATCCAGATTCCTTAGAAAATCTAGAGAACATGTCTTGGCAGTATTTAAAGAGCAGGATATTTACATTCCTAAATCCAGACTATCAGTTCAGAAAAGAAAGTTTAAATTTGACGAAACAGAAGCCCAAGAAACGTGGATAAAAGACCTTGTTCGGTAAAAAAACATTTTATGGGAAATTATTTAAAACCACTGAAAAAAGAGTCTTCGTCTATTTTGCTATTGAAGGATGAAGACGATATTTTTGATTTAGAATATTGTTTATACTGTCATCATGGCAGATTAAATGAAACAGTTTCTTGGGTGCAATGTGATAAGTGCAAAGGATGGATTCATCAAATATGTGAAACTGAGATGGATAAATCGTTTAGTGGAGCGTTTACGTGTAAATTATGTGTAAATACCAACTCACCTATACCCTTAGAAAATGTGGATACGAACTTTGGTGAAAAATGGTTATATCAAATTCGGCAGAACGGTTGCACTTAGAAGATAAAGAATCTAATGAAAATAGAGATAAACTATTAACTTCGTCCAACTTTGGACGGGTGTCTTATTTTAAAAAAGAAAAAGCTGAAGAAAAATTATGTAAAGAAATACTGAGCGACAGGAATATAACACGCACTTCATCCATGAAATATGAAATAGACAATAAACAGAGAGCAATAAATTTATATCAAGACAAAACGGGATGCTTAGTGAAAAAATCCGATTTATTTATATATAATCATATTAAGTATTTAGCGGGTTCTCCTGACGGACTTGTTGGTAGAGATGGCATTATTGAAATCAAATGCCCATTAAAAGCAAAAGAATTATCCTTAATGGAGGCAAAACTTGAGTACTTACAAGATGATGGAAAACTTAAAACGTCACATTACTATTATTTCCATATTCAGGGTTTACTAGAAATATGCAACAGACCATGGTGCGATTTTACTGTATTAGCACAAAATAATATCTATATTCAAAGAGTTTATAGGAGCAAAGAGTTTTGGCTTAATTTACTTCCAAAATTAAAAGAATTTTATTTATTTTATTATATACCGTTTTTAGTAAAACCAAACAATAAATTATCCATAAAAAATCGTAGATGGACAACGATAAATAAAATTATATTTTTAAATAACAAATTGATCAACGACACAGTATTTTACAAATCGTTACGATGTGGTAGAGATTATGTAGTAGCTACATACAATTTTAATCTCAATATAAATGAATTTAAAAATCTAATTTTTTCTTTGACCTTTTGTATATTTATTTGGGATTTATCCTTGGTTTTAGGCCAGTAATTTAAAACATAATAATTAAAAGTTGTTTTTATTTTTTACGTACGTTTCGACCATTCTTAGGTCTTCTTCAGAAAATTATAATTATTATCAAATACATATACACATAACAATATAAAATCACTATAAAAAATTTAATTAAGTATTACACATAACATATTAAAAACAAACAACCACATTACTAGTACATGTCAGACTCTAAAAAAAATAATGAAAAGAAATGATTTTTTTTAGAGTATGACATGTACTAGTAATGTGGTTGTTTGTTTTTAATATGTTATGTGTAATACTTAATTAAATTTTATAATGATTTTATATTGTTATGTGTATATGTATTTGATAATAATTATAATTTTCTGAAGAAGACCTAAGAATGGTCGAAACGTACGTAAAAAATAAAAACAACTTTTAATTATAAATGAATTAAGATATTCAGATTTCGATTCATTATCCGGAGAACAATGGCTAACAATTAGCTGCTGACGAAAATACCGAAAACTAAATCGATCAAGAACACGCCACTGGGGGATTATTATTAGACTAGTGGGCCTCTATAATCCCTGAAATTTTGATCTTGTTAGTATACGCAGTTTTCGAGAAAATAGGAAAAACGGTATAAACAAATTAGCTGCTGACGAAAATACCGAAAACTAAATCGATCAAGAACACGCCACTGGGGGATTATTATTAGTCTACTGGGCCTCTATAATCCCTGAAATTTTGATCTTGTTAGTATACGCAGTTTTCGAGAAAATCGGAAAAATGGTATAAACAAATTAGCTGCTGACGAAAATACCGAAAACTAAATCGATCAAGAACACGCCACTGGGGGATTATTATTAATCTAGTGGACCCCTATAATCCCTGAAATTTTGATCTTGTTAGTATACGCAGTTTTCGAGAAAATCGGAAAAACGGTATAAACACATTAGCTGCTGACGAAAATACCGAAAACTAAATCGATCAAGAACACGCGACTGGGTGATTATTATTAGTCTAGTGGACCCCTATAATCCCTGAAATTTTGATCTTGTTAGTATACGCAGTTTTCGAGAAAATCGGAAAAACGGTATAAACAAATTAGCTGCTGACGAAAATACCGAAAACTAAATCGATCAAGAACACGCCACTGGGGGATTATTATTAGTCTAGTGGGCCTCTATAATCCCTGAAATTTTGATCTTGTTAGTATACGCAGTTTTCGAGAAAATCGGAAAAACGGTATAAACACATTAGCTGCTGACGAAAATACCGAAAACTAAATCGATCAAGAACACGCGACTGGGTGATTATTATTAGTCTAGTGGACCCCTATAATCCCTGAAATTTTGATCTTGTTAGTATACGCAGTTTTCGAGAAAATCGGAAAAACGGTATAAACAAATTAGCTGCTGACGAAAATACCGAAAACTAAATCGATCAAGAACACGCCACTGGGGGATTATTATTAGTCTAGTGGGCCTCTATAATCCCTGAAATTTTGATCTTGTTAGTATACGCAGTTTTCGAGAAAATCGGAAAAACGGTATAAACCATAGACTTAAAATAAAATATAGACTGAGCATCTCATTCATAAATAGCTGGAACATGCGGTCAGACAACATCTTGTTATTGTTGTGTTATTGTTTTAGGTTATAACGAGTGCGACACGAGCGATAGATAGGTTGTCTCTGTCGTAACGGTCGTTCCCTGACGACTCTGCCGAGAAACACAACACTGTCTTTCGTTTCTCAAGTACACCTGAACTCTCCGTCTCATAGCCGGGTAATTTTTTTATTTTAATGAAGCTATAATTAAATTAAAAATATATCGTATTTAAACATTTTTATATTTTATTAAGATTTAGGACAGGTTTTTTAAATAAAAGTTTTAGAAAAAACGTCTTAGAGTCCAAAAAGGATAAAAATAATAAAATACACGTTATAGAAGAAATTTTATAATCGAAATTATGTAATTTTTGAAATTAATAATAAATTATTAATTTTAGTCAAACATTTACAACCCCTAATATTAATCAAAACAGGATCTATTCCACAGATATAATAGAGTCGGCGACAGGGAGAGAAAAAAAAATATGATTGTTGTAATGTTTTTTCTGGTTAAGTGATGTCTTATGTAAATTAGAGAAAACATAAATCTGTTCCATTAAAGCAAGGAAGATGATAGGAAGTGGATAAAATGAATACTACATTTATTTAACTCGGTACTGTCTTTATTATACCGGGTGCGTCCAAAAGTGGCTCAACCCCATAATTTTTTTATATTTTCAAATAAAAAAACAAGATTTAGTATGTTAGTATATGACATAAATTAGGATTGATTGACGCATTCAATTGTTTTTGGTCACTTTCTGTTTCACCGGAAATGACTATAACTTTTAATTTTTAAACGGCACCCTCGGTATATTTCTACTTTATTTGATAGAAAATGACACTCTGAATAGAATGACATATCATATGTCAACTTTTGACA